AACATCCAAAAATCATACAGTTTCACAGTAAGTAAGTAACTTTTTACTTATGAAAAAATTGTGCTTATCAATTCAACCTTTGTATAGCCTTTATATAGAAAATGCGAGTATCAAATGCCAAACGTTTGCCAAAATGAAATTTTAAGGTAAGTGCAAGTGATCATAGAAAAGCGGGAGGATTTATTTCCTAGTTTAAGGGTTTGAAGCGTTGTTATTGAAGAGAATTTAGAACAATATTCATGGTATGTGCAAGTGATCATAGACCCAAAGGGTTCTTACCTCTATTTGTAATCTAAATTTGGCAAGAAAACCCCAAGGTAGTTCAATTTTTTTACTCCCTGAGTATTCTTTGTTTTGTGTGGTTGTACTTGTTTCAGGATGTATGAGTATTTTTGTTGGAAGTAAATTTATAAGTTAATGGCTTAATGCTTACCTTTTGTGCAGAGCTCAAAGTTGAGTTGCAGTTCAAAAAGCAATCACCAGTTTACAATCACACACTAGCCACTATAATGGTTCAATATGCTTCGGCAGTAAGCTCCAACTCCATTATTCCATTAAAAATAATGAAAAAAATGCTGATTCACAGTTTATCCATGTCAATACATGATGGTTAGCACCAATATCATGATTATAATAATTTATAAACAACCTTTTATCTTGTAGGTGTATATGTCAGATCTGACTGAACTATTTACTTGGACATGTTCAAGATGTGATGGTTTAACCAAGGTGTTGTACTTTGAATTTCATCAAGCTTTCAGCTTATCAGTGCACCATTTTTTAGTTAATTAGGTGTATCATGTATGTCTGTTTTCTTGCAAACAGGGGTTTCAGATGATTGAGCTGATTGTTGATGTCCAGCACTGTCTGCAGGTATGTGCAACATAACATAATAACAATTCTCTCTCAAAAAAAAAATGAAGGGCAAAAAACTAGAAAGTTGATTGGAAATTCATACTTTAAGCTCCTAGCTTGAGTTCTTAATGCAAATATCTCGTGCAGGCATTTGTCGGGGTGGCTCAAGACCTTAATGCCATTGTTGTTGCATTCAGAGGAACTCAAGAAAACAGGTTTCAGCAATGCTGTATATACTAGTGCCAGGGGTGGATCAAGAAATTGAGTATAGGGTGAACAAGAACATGAGTTCAGTAACTTCAGTTTTTGAGCCTGAGTTCAGATAGGAAAAAAAGAATTACAAGTCTGCAAATAGGCTTAACCGCTAGACTTTGAGCTACTGATTCAAAAATGCAATAGGGGCAACATTTTGCACTATATAAGGACCTCAAAATTAGCAGGCCTGGTTGAAAGCTTGGAACCCAGCCCAAGCCAAAGCTAGATCTGCCCTTGCTAGTATCGTTCAACTGCCATTATGTATTTTGTTCACAGGGTCATGATTTTGTATTTATTATTTCAGCATACAGAATTGGATTGAAGACCTATACTGGAAGCAACTGGACATAAATTATCCGGGGATGGATGATGCAATGGTGACTGCTATACCAAGCTTTTTTTCACAAAAGACTAGGGGATTAATAATCTTAACAAAATTTGACACTTAGGTTCTGCTATGTTGGGTTCTAACTCTTAACTTCCAACTCTTAACAAAATTTGACACTTAGGTTCTGCTATGTTGGGTTCTAACTCTTAACTTCCAACACTTTCCCGTTTCTTCCACATCCATGCAGTTTGCCCATTCCTTCTAGTTTCTTCCAACATCTAACCCTCTTATCCCAACCTAAAAGTACAAAGCCTTGATTGACACTAAGGCCCTATTCTTTTGGGTTGAAATTTCAGAGGTTGGAAGAAACTGGAAGAAGTTAGAAAATGTGAGAAGAATTAAGGTGTTAAAAAGTCACTCAATTAAATGATCATTGATCACCAAAAAAAATACGTAAGAAAACTCTAATTTTGGATAAAAAAGAATTCATCATTCTCCGTGCTTGAGGTCGTATGTTATATTGTTATGCATTTGGATATATAATGTTATTGTATATTCATTATATATAAAGACCATTTTAAGTCGTTGGAAGAAACTGGAAGAAGTTGGAAGAAATTGGAAAGAGTTGGAATTTATTTTTTCCAATCCAAAAGAACAAGACCAAATTTCATGCCACCTACCACAACATAGTTGGATCAGAGGTGGTGATGATGAAGAATGGACAATGATGAAAAACCCTCTGAAACATATTCTATAGACATGTTTATGTAGCAATCTTACGAGTGTGTGTGTGTGTGTGTGACTGGTTGTGTGTATTCATGTTATACAACCTATTGATCTATCAGGTGCACCGTGGATTCTATACTGCTTATCACAATACAAGTCTCCGTGCTGGCGTGCTGAATGCTGTTAAAGAGGCAAAAGAGTTAAATGGCGATTATCAGATTATGGTGACTGGGCATTCAATGGGAGGAGCTATGGCTGCCTTTTGTGGACTAGATCTCACTGTAAATATTATGATCTTGGGACATTAGAAAACGATTTGTTATTTTTTCATCATTTACTATCTATGGCTCTCCATGCTACATACCATATGTATATGATTGGTTATGTGAATTACTTGTTTTGTTTTGCATAAAATATTTCAGGTCAATTATGGTGCTGAAAGTGTTCAAGTAATGACTTTTGGACAGCCTAGAATAGGCAATGCAGTTTTTGCATCATACTATAGCCAGCTTGTGCCAAATACTATTCGTGTGACACATGGTCATGATATTGTGCCTCATTTGCCCCCATACTATCAATACTTTCCTAAAAAGACATACCATCATTTCCCAAGAGAGGTAACAAATGCTCGCTCACCTGAACTGATGTTCAATTCTTGATGAAACCCCCAACGGAAATGCTGAATAGCTATGAATTATGAACATAAAAAAAATATTGAAGATATATTTCATACTATTTTACATGGAAAAAGCTAATTTTGCTGCATCCAAACGGGAAAAATAATTTTCAAACCACTTTTGTGCAAACTTTATCCAAACAAAAACTGATTGTGATTATATTAATTATAATTTACTATACATGTACTAATGACTATTGAAATATTATGTAATATAATATTTTCAGCTATCCCCAACACAGTTCATGTTTTTTGGCATTGCAGGTCTGGTTGTATTACACTGGCCTTCAAAGTTTAGTTTATCCCGTAGAGAAAGTTTGTGATAGGTCGGGTGAAGACCCAACTTGCAGCAGGTATGAGCTCTCTTATCCTCGCTATAGTTTTAACTATGGGCACTCAAGAGGGGGAGACTATATTGTAAATGGGCTAAAACTTATTTCCAGCAAGTATTGGATATACCGAAGAGAAACTTTGCAAAGTATTAGAAAACGGGCATTCAGTTGTCTTCTAAGTTTTATCTCGTGTCTAGACGCTCTCTATGTAAACTGACCAAAATGGGCATCTAGAATGATACTCCAACTTTTGGTAACTAGTAATGACATAACTATTTGTGTTTGAAAAAACCCTTCTCAGATCAGTGTCAGGGAACAGCATTTCTGATCATATGGCATACTACGGTGTTCAGATGGGATGCGAGGAACCTGCTCCGTGCAAAATCATCATCATGGATTCCTCTGTTTCTTCTTACTCGACGGAAGATCTTAATGGAAATATCGTTTTGTATAGAGGTACTTCTGTGTCTAGTTTAAGTATGAATTCAGAATCCAGTAAACAGAGTGCATCATTGTGAAGTTTTTCATTGGGTGAGCATTTGCATTTTGAAAATAGTTTGTGCCATGTGTATATATGTACTTTTTTTTCCATTTTCACAATGTAAATAGTTATTTTTTACCAGTCTCTTTAGCTTAAACTGTAAAATATAATAAAACCTTCTGATTTTTTTAAATATTTAAATTGCAAATGGGAAAAGAAGAAAAAGAAGGAAGACATGCATTCTTACACAATGTCACCATGTAACCTTAATCGTGTCGTCTGTTGAGTTTCTATAACAGTCTAGGCTCTCTAGAGTGTTTTTTATAATGTTTGTGCACACATATTAGGTAAGAATAAAAAAAATCAAGTCTTAGAAGAAATAAAAGAAGAAATATATTGATCTTTCTTTCTCAAAGTAAACCTTTTCAATTTCTTATTTTGTTTGTTTCAAAATAAACTTCTCATTCTTTTTAAGTATGTAGTACTAGTTCACAATATTTTTTTCTCGGCGTCTCATCGGCATAGATTTTAACTGTAAAAGTAAAAATTAGAAAGTTTGATTTGGGACGGAAAAAGTACTATCTTTGTATTAACCACAGTTCTCAAAAATCTGACCCAGCTCTGCCTAGGGGGTCTTGTTTAACTGCTTCCTATTTCGCGGGAAAACATTTCAAATGCTAGGACCATATTGGACCCCAGTTGTGGTTTCACAAATTGTCAGATGAGATTAGCCTCTAAAAGTACTTTATTTTCCAATGCTACTGTCCCATATTGAGTCCCGAGTGACTTATAGAATAATCATTTATATTTTTAAATAAACAATTAAAAGATTAAAAAGAAAAGATGTGGGATAATCATTTTAAACCCGAATCAGAGGTCGACCCGGCGGAGAGGACGGGTCCCGGGCTTTTACGGGTTTTTGAGGGGTTGGACCGGACCGGTTGTGTGTCCGGGTCGTGGTTCGACCGGTCGGACTGCCCGGTCCGCTACGGGTTTAATAACATTGCCTAATTGGGATGGTCCCAACTTTTCAAAACTCATCCAATATGGTGGGATTTAAGATTGGCATGTGAAATGATTGCTAGATGCTCTATGTGCATGTAGGCATTAAGCCCAAAAATAGAGAGATTGCAAAAAAAAATCATTACAAAGCATTGTGACTATTAAAAAGTATTTGAGTGGGATTTTTGAACATTTTTGAGAGTTCAATGACATTATTAAAAATTTAAAAGGGAAAAAATAGAGTGACATTTTTGACAAAACATAATACTTGAGTGGCAATTTTGAATATTTTAGAGACTTCAATGACATAATTGAAAGAAAATAAAAAGCAATGATATTTTTGAGAAAAAAACAAATAGTTTAGTGGCATTCTTGTTACCGTACTCTATGTTTTGATCATATTTTGGTAAATTTCTGAGGACAGATGACAATTTTTCATAATTTGTCTTGGTAGTCATGAATAGAAAAAGATTAACAGATTGAAGGCTTTGCTTGATAGGATCTAAATCCATATAATACATCACATCTTTCTCACACCTGACTGTCTTTGATCAATCATAACTTGAATGTGTCTATATATTTATACACACTCTTAGAGAGATATCCAAGAAAGAAAAAAATGCAACAAGTCTTCAAAGGGCTTCCACTTCTTCAGTAGCTTTCTCCTCTTTGGCTGCCACCTCAGCTTTTTTCTCCTGATGATTCATAAGAATGGCATATCAGAGGTGTTTACTGTCTAGTGTAGTATATACTCCGTGTGTGTGTGTGTGTGTGTGTGTGTGTGTGTGTATATATAAATATAAAGATAGGATTTTAAGAATATGCAAATAATTTCTTTCTTTATTCTCTATACCTCTTGTGGACTTGGAGTTTTCTCGTCTTGTTCTGGTTTGGCTTCAGCTTTTGCCTCATTGGTAGGAGCTGACACATCATTTTCTTCTGTAATATTTACCTTTTCTTCCTTAAGCTGAATGCCCTCTTCTGTCAATCAAAACCATAACAATTTAAAGCTTCTCATTTTGTTTATGTATCCCCACTCAAAAAAAAAAAGCTTAAGTTTGTAATTTGAACATATATCTACATTCTTCAAGTTTGACCATATATGTGGCTTACATTGTTTCTCTCGCTTTCTAACAATTCCTGTTTGGTTCAAGGAATTTGAATGGGAAAAGAAAAAATGAGATGGAAAACAATTTTTCTTGCTTGGTTAGAGAAAAAATGAAAATTGGAAGAAAAAGAATGTGAGAAGACAAAGTGTACTAAGAACTATTTTCTTACCCCTACGCAGGGTAAGGTATACATACACTCATCCCACACTTTTTCTTACCGTTTTGGTGAGGAAAATGAGAGAGAACTATTTTCTTTTCTTTTCCTACCAAATTCCTTGAACCAATCATATACAAAGTGGTAAGTTCATTTTGAAAAGGAGCATACTTTTAAGTTGTGTGAATTTTTTGCACTTTTCCCCTTCTCCCCCCTTTAATTGTTGCTGGGAGAGGATGGAAGGAAAAATCAAAACAGTATTTTGAAGGGGCTCCAACCAAACACACCCTAAAGGTGGAAACAAAATTTTCAGTCATGGAAAACCATGATGCATTGAGAAACTATAAATACCAAACCTTTTTGTGCATCTGTTTTGTCTTCATCATCAACAGATCCTTTCTCCACCTCTTCATTGACAGAAACACATTCTATTTCTTCCTTCTGCTGCTCTTCAATGGCCATTTTTGCTTCCTCTTCCAGAATCTCATCATTGAAAGATACAGATTCTGTTTCTTTCCCCTGCTGCTCTGCAATGGCCATTTTTGCTTCCTCTTTCACATCTTCCATAGCCACCACAGTGCTTTCCTTAAGCTCTTCATTGACAGTCACAGATTCTGTTTCTTCCTCAGGCTCCTCCAAAATTGCCTTTTCAGTTTTCTCCTCTCCCAAATCCACTCCACTTTCCTTAACTTCCTCGGGTTTGTTTGCCTCTTTCTCAATCCCACCATTAATGGACACAGGTTCTGTTTCTTGGCTTTCTTCCCTCTCGACAACAGCCATAACAGAAAGAATATTCTGGCTTTCCTTCACCTCCTCAGCTGCGTTTACCTCTTTCTCAATCCCGCCACTAATGGACACAGGTTCTTGACTTTCTTCCTTCCCGACAACAGCCTTTTCGGTTTTCACTTCTTCTTTAAATCCTTCCCCTGCCACCATAATAGAATCAAGATTCTGGCTTTCCTTAACCTCACCATTAATGGAGACAGCTTCTGTTTCTTGACTTTCTTCCTTCTCAACAACAGCTTTTCCGGGGTTCTCTTCTTCTTTAACACCTCCCCCTGCCACCATAACAGAATCAAGATTCTGGCTATCCTTAACCTCACCATTAATGGACACAGATTCTGTCTCTTGACATTCTTTCTTTGCCACAACAGCTTTTCCGGGTTTCTCTTCTTCTTTAACACCTTCCCCTGCAAGCATAACAGAATCAAGATTCTGGGTTACCTTAACCTCACCATGAATGGGCACAGGTTCTGTTTCTTGACTTTCTTCCTTCTCGACAACAACCGCATCAGAATCAAGATTCTTGCTTTCCTTAACCTCCACGGCGGCATTGACCTGTCTCTCCATCTCAACCATAACAGGAGGAGAATCGTTCTCTTTTTCGGCTTCCACGACAACCTTGACAGCCTCGTCAGGGCTGCTGCTTTCCTTAACCTTCACAACAGCACCAGTTCCAAGATTTGCAACTGCTGCAGCCTCAGGCTTGTTCTCCGGGACACGATTTGCAGCAAAATCTTGTTCCGGCAGCTGCAGGGATGGGGGAACGGTGGTGGGGTTCTTGTGATGGACGGCGGTTTCCGGCGCTTTCTCCCTCCTGGAGGTGGATCTGGAAGAAGAGGATGAACTCTTGGTTCTGGTAATGGTGTTCTCTGTTGAAACTGCATGCTTGGATTCTCCACAACCCATGATTATGATGCACCAGGTTAATTAACTATATATCTCTCTCCTTTTTTTGTTGTTGAAAATGGATTGATTCTCTTATCTCTCTCCTCTGATCTCTGTGAATCTTGTTGTTGTTGAGAGAGAGATGAGAGAAGGAGAAAGAAATTTGAGAAAGAGGATTGTTGTCTCTCTGGCTTCTGTCTTTTTGGTTTCTGGCTGTATTGTTATTATTATTTGTTCTTAGTTAATGTGTGGCTAAGGAACAGTTTTTTCGGTTACTAGGTATGTTCTGTAAAGGCGTAGATTTGGCCATTTGTCGTATTGTTGTTGTTAGATGAGCCTTTAATTGCTACTACTACACTTATTATGACTTGCCTGTTTTTTGCAATTATTATTCAATCTCATTCACATCCTTAGAGCATCCACAGTGGCAGCATCTCTTATTGGATGCCCAAGTGTGGGCTCCACTATAAAGATGTCATTCTAGCATCTCTCTCAACATTCCATTCTTTCAATGGTAGCATCTCATTTGGATGCCTAAATATCTATTCCATTAATATAATGGGTCCACTAAAATATACTTTCTCCGTCCTAAAATTAATTTCCCAGTTTGACTTTTGCAGTCAAAACTTTTTAATCTTTGACCGTATATTACAGAAAAAGTACATTGAGTTTTCATATAAATTTATTAGCAATACATTCTTTTTGAAATATAGTTTTGAAATATATAATTTTTATCCAATATATTTATATAAAAATTGAGATATTGATGGTCAAAGTATCGCATTGAAGACCGTGAAAAAGCAAATGAGAAGTTAATTTCGGGACGGATGGGTATTTAAATTTTATTTTTTGTTAATTATAAGTATTTAGTTTTATAATAAATTACGGAGTATTAATTATACGAAACTTGAAAATAAAACCTCACAATATTACACTGCGATCAAGAATACAAAACAACTAAGAAAATCACATAAGAAAGCATGCTGGATAGGTTCTCCCCTTACATGAATAACTATTTGGATGCAAATCCATTTTTTTAAGAAAAAAATCCTAATTTGCAGCTATTTGTAAAGAAAATATTTGCTTAAAATATTTATTGGAATTTCAAAAAAATATCTGTTGAAAAAGTATATTAAAAAAGAGAGCCATTTAAAAAATTGCCATAAAAAAGAATTGAGTATATATATGTGTGTGTGTGTGTGACACATGGCACATAATCATTTGACCACAAAACTAAAGAAATAAATGCATTAAATCCTTCCCCCCTCAAGCATCGGTGCTATGTGAAGCATCCCCTTCTCTTTTTCTTCCTTGGACATCTCTTATGGGCACCCACCTACAATAATAGCATACTATCAACATCTCACTCTCTCCTCCTAGCATCTATTGTGGGCATCCCATTGCCCCAAAAATCCGATGAAGTAAATTTGGAACTCTTTTTTGGGAAAAGAAAAGAAATGATTTTTCTTTTTTTAGAGAAGAAAAGAATTGTGTAAAAAAACAGAAGAAAAGAATAGAAAAATAGAAAGAAAAGAAAATGAGATAAAATAAATAAATTTAGAAGAGGAAACATAAAATTCTTTCTATTTTGGTGAGAAAACGAGAGAACTTTTTTTGTTTTTATTTTTTCTTTGAACCTTTCATTTTCTTTAGAATTCTTTGAACTAAACATAGTACTATGATTCTACGTAATCTGTATAAACTCTATAAAAGAAGTCATCACATGCTACTAATTGGTTAGCTTCTGATTGATTTTGTTGGTTGAATCATTACTTAGAGCAGTGGTAATGGGCTTCACGCTCAACCACGTTATAGTAGTTTTGACGCCTGGAGGCGTTAAACACTGCCCCCTCCCTCCGTTATGGCGCGTTAAAATTCCGACGTCAAACTTTTGACGCAATTTGAAGCGTTAAAACGCCTTCTCTCTTCCTTTTCTCTCTCTTTTTTCTTCTTTTCTTCTCTATAAATTAAATTAATTTTTTTTTAAATTCAACAAAAATACAAATCTCTCTTTATCTATCACCTTTTTTAAAAAAATACTATTCAAGTATTTTATTTATTTTTTCATGAATGTAATTTTTTTTATTTAATTAATGTAATTTTTCATAATGAATGTAATTTTTTTATTTAATGAATGTAATTTTTTATAATGAATGTAATTTTTTTATTTAATGAATGTAATTTTTTATAATGAATGTAATTTTTTAATGAACTATTCTCGTTTCAATTCTTTTAAATAATTAAATATTTAAAGTTTATTAATTTAATTTTAAAAGATGTGTATTTGAAATGTAAAAAGTGAAGGTTTGATGCCCCAGTTTGAAGCCCCGGGGCTTCAAACCCATTTCCACTGAAACTGCGAGGTAAATTAAAGCTGACGTGGCAGAGAGAGAACGTTTAAAGCCCCGGTTTGAAGCCACGGGGCTTCACGAGTATTTTCAGTGCCCTTAGCATCAGGTTCTTGGTTGCCTCAGATTCTCATTAGTTTCGAGCTCTTACATTACCGTTGTAAATGAGATATCTGTGATTAATTTGACCAAAGACCTTGTACTTGTTCTTAAAAAAGAGTTTGTACCTGGGGACTGAGGCTAGAGGTTCAGTGCCGGAACTTCTATCTCCTTAGCTCACCCCCTAAACCCCCACCCCAGTCCTACCTTCCCTCATTGGGAAGGTACCGCCGAAAAAGGCATATAATATTCTTCTAATTTAAATTTTCACGTAAAATAATTTGTTCATATTTCTGGTAATTTGTTAGACTCGCTTATCATTTTTACACAATAAAAATGATAAAGTCAGACGAAATAATTAACACCATCATTTGGCGACATTCATGGGACACAAACCCACGACCACATGAATACATAAAAGGCATGTAATTTTCTCTCAATTTGTGTTTCCACATAAAAAATAACTTGTTCATGTTTTTGGTAATTCGTTACTCGCTTATCATTTTTACCCACACGATAAAAATGATAAAGTGAGTAAAAATGATAAAACCAAACAAAATAATTAACACCATCAAATTGGATTAATACTTTTGAACAATCGTCATCCCATACCACACTAGCACATTATATATTTTCAACAAGAATCTTAAATACATGCTTCCCCTCACTCAGAATTATCTTCCTATTTGTTTTTTCATGGTCAAAAATTTCTGACTTTGAACATAAAATATGAAAAAATATTGAGTTATGATATAAATTTAATATCAATAGATTTATTTTGAAATAAAATTTAAAAATATCATAATTTTTTAAATGCAAAATTATACTCCGTATATAAATAGAGATAATAATTATCATAATAGTGCACTAGAGACCATAAAAAACATACAGAAAGATATTTCTTGAACGGAATGAGTAATTTACTTAAAACTCAGAGAAAAACAAATAATTTCACAGTTGTCTTATCTGGCATTAAGTAATTGTCACAATGGCTTAATTCATTCAAAATCAGAAATGTGTTTTATCCGTTTTTTGGTTCACTCCCAAAACGTAAGCTCTCAAAATGTAAACGACCTTACTACAGAAATAAGTGTCTTGGAGTATATATTGCAACAGAAAAATAAATTAAATATTCTCATAATAATTGCATTACAGACAATGCAACTCCCTTATTGTGATGAACATGTGCCAAGAAAGCAATCATAAGATAATTAATTGGGTACAAAAACAGCATCAGGTAACTAATTACACACAAAAATGGAAAAAAAAATGTGAAAAAGAAAAAAAGGGGAAAACAGCAAAAACACATACAAATTGATTTTCCACTTAAGGGTCATGATGATCTGCACACAAATCCAGCTCTTGATCTGTCTGTTTCCTCAAATCTCAGCTCCAAGCCTAGTCAACACAGCATCAGCCGAAAAGATGTCTCCAAAACGCCCTTTCGCAGAATTAGTCGGCCATTTCCCACAGATGTTCGCGTCGCAATGCAGTACTAAGATTTACTGGTTAGCATATGCCGGAGAAGACCACAGGCTACTACAAAGAATTTACCAATGAATAACCCAACAGTAGTCTTCATAACAGGTCAGCCTCCTCCTGGTCTCCATCATGATCGTCCCCCTCATTTTCCTCATCTTCCTCGGGCGCATCGGGATCCACTCCCTGTAGAGTTCAAATATCATTTGTAAAATCCATACCTCACAGTAATATTTGAATGTTTTATAATGTAGCTTCCCTTGAAAATGTTTTAGCTTTGAAAAGTGAAAACAGCCACTGTGTTTTTATAATATGAGTGTAATTCTTAAAGGGTGTTGTTAAACGCCTATTTTGGCTAAATCCACACTATTTGTTACAAAAAGTGTAAAAAAAGAATGATGACATGTGAAATTAGCTAAAGGATAGACTTGTCCAATTCTCATAAATGGGGTGGATTTAGCAACACCCTTTCTTAAAGCATAAGAAGATGAACTTTTTGAGTAGTAGGTAACAGATAGAACCTTCATTTGTTTCTCCAATCGTTCTAATCCTTTTTTAGCTGCTTCATTTTGGGGATTAATCCTGCGTATGGAAGGAAATAAACACTGATTTAGCAATACAGAAGCTGGCTAGGACTTTTACAATACAGCAATCCTCCATATTCCAAAATCATACTAAGAAATACTTGACGCGTCAGTTTGGAAAATGAAACAAAAAAATTTGGAAGCGAAGGAAAGGAAATTTTGGGGGAAATGACAAATTGCTTCAAAGCTGGCCAAAAACAAAGCACATTTGATTTTACTTGCAGTGTTCAGTTTTCTTTGTCTTTATATGATAGAAATAAATAAATAAATTTGATTTTCCTTTGTAAAATTTTAAAAATATAAGCACATTTGATTTTCATTTGTACTTTCCATGGTAAAACCAAACACTGAAATTATTTCCTTCAATCTCTTTTTCTAATTTCTTCACCATTTTTCAGGTAATAAACATAGCCGAAACTAGGAGAAAAAAATATTAGTGTACCTCAGTGCCGCTTGATAATGTGAAAGAGCATCTTGCAGCATATTTGTGGCAGAAAACACCTGGGCAAGCTTAATATGCAAAGAGTCATGAGCCCAATCATTCAGATACTGCTCAAGGTGAGAGATAGCATC